TTGCTATTCACATAATTACATTGCAAAATGATTTTGATGATAATCTTGATAGTATGAAACACATGCGACACATCATGTTCACGTTTATTCACAAACTGCTTTAGTTTTTTCGTAGTAGTATATTATACAACAAGTTTTGATTAACGCTATTTTAGTCATAGTCACGAGTGACTGAAGAGATTTATCAATGTTACATACTAGTTTTTCCTACGACCATTAGTTTTTGAATAGAGTTGACTTATTAAAGTGACACATTTAGCAAGCTTGATTCAAGCAAAATTGGGTATTTTAAAGTAAGGGGTAGAAAAAAATCATTTTGTTACTAAATTAATGATGAGGATACCTTTTACCAGAATTTGTAAAGAATATCAAAAAAACTTATACATTCACTTATCCTATATTAAATATAAAATATTATATTGCTACATATATATATATATATATATATATATATATATATATATATATATATATCCGTTCGCTCGTTGAACTCCGACTGGAATCCTGCATCCGACTGGAATCCTGCAAATCTTGCATCCGACTGGAATCCTGCAGACGTTTCGCCAAAATCTCACTTGGCATCTTCAATGCTCGCGCTCCGAAAACACTTCGAACACTGTTTTCGGAGCGCGAGCATTGAAGATGCCAAGTGAGATTTTGGCGAAACGTCTGCAGGATTCCAGTCGGATGCAAGATTTGCAGGATTCCAGTCGGATGCAGGATTCCAGTCGGAGTTCAACGAGCGAACGGATGATATCCCGGAATATAGTGTCATCACATTTTTCCATCCGTGAATCAATACGTGAGAATATATATATATATATATATATATATATATATATATATATATATATATATATGTATATATATATATATATATATATATATATATATATATATATATATATATATATATATATATATATATATATATATATATATATATAGGGCATTTGAATTTATATTAAATTAAGGCATTAATGGTGCAATAGATGGTGCCATTTTGGCGAATTCAATTAACAAAATCTGAAGATTTTCAATTAGAACACACTATATTTTTATTCAGATATCAATTCTAGGACGAAAAATACGGTAAGTTAATAATTAAGGTGACGTCTGTGACGTAATTATATCTATTGATTTCTGCCTTTGATTTGGGTTTCATTTCCTTATTGAATGGCATCTTCTTTAGTGGTCGCTGTTGATATATTAAAGAAAAAAGAAGTATAGGGCGGATCAAAAAGTAACACTAAAAATTTAAATAAAAAAATCGTAAAAAGGCATTTTTTAAAAAGAAAAAATTCCATTTGTATAATTTTATCGTTATTTCACATTTAACAAAATCGTGGTTTTGTCATTATAAAAATGCTGCGATGACGAAACATGGCCAAAAAAGGAAATTAAATAATGGATATACAAATAATCAAAAAATAAAAGACATATATAACAATTGTTTATAACAATTCTAAGTTTTTTAATTTTTTCCATTATCCAAGAGTGTTTCTGGTATATTCTTTTCAATCTGGATATTTTTCAACAATGTTGTTGACATAATTCATTCCATTTTTTGTCATAAAAATAAATTTAAAACAAAAATTTAAAAACTTTTGTGTTAGTTATTTAATTACAACATTAAAGATTTACAAAAAAGTGTCAAACGATAGTAAATAGTAGATGCCATTTCTTTAGTGCTTCACTGTTTTTTTCTGCCATGTTTCGCCATTATTTTCTCGACCAATTAATAGCTATTTGGCATTTTTACAATGGACAAACGTTCTATTGATAATATTTTTTAAAAGAAGATCCACCATTACCAATTCAACGACTATGTCTCAGTATATTTCTGAGGCTGGTGATGAAGATTCTCAAATGGACGTCATATATCTTAATTTTTCGAAAGTGTAATCGCCTAGATAACAAAATTCAAATCCACAAGGTCCGTGCTTTTGGTTTAATCGAATCGTTTATAAATATGTTTTCTTCATATTTATCGACCCGCACTCAGTACGTCTATCCCTATGGTCACACTTTCGATGAATACATCGCTTCCTCAGGCGTTCCTCAAGGCTCAATATTTGGGCCATTATTATTCAATATTTTCGTTAATGACATTAGTGAATTTTTTGATACATGCGGCCGACATTTTTTTTTTAATCCGGTGTTCAGAGGATTGTCTTACTCTCCAGCGTAGTTTAGAGCAAATCAACAATTGGTCTCTAATAAATCACTTGCAACTTAAAACAGCCAATTGTTATATAATCTCTTTTACCACTATGAGTGTAGCTGTAAAATATGTCATCATCTTCAACTCTCTTCCGTTTTAGGGCTTTTTGTGACTTGCGAGTAATATTCGACACGAAATTATGCTTCGTTCCTCATGTTTATAAGGCAGAAGCCTCAAATAGCTATGGATTTATTGTACGTTGCACTAGAGCCTTAAAAAATACAGAAGTGATAAAACTCATACACTAGTTCTAAGTTGGAGTATGCATCAGTAGTTTGGTTTCCTGGGTGCAATTGACATATTAATATCCTGGAAAAAATTCAGCGTGGAGTATTCTAAGATAAAGTGTCATCCCATAATAAACCGGCCACCGGTACACTGATTTTAAGTAGCACAAGACATTTCTTAACTCGAAATAAAAAAAAATACTGTAACATCTGTAGCCGATATGATGTTTAACATTTTTATCATAATTTCACTAATTCCGGCATGCATCAAAATTGTTTTTTATTTTAAAATTACCATTACTAAATTTGATCATATCTAGATTTTTTCATTTACCACAATATTGTTCTACATGATCATCACTTACTTTAATATTTAACATGGTATAAATTGAATCACTTACTTTAATATTTAACATGGTATAAATTGATTTAAATGCTAAAAACAACTGCTCACAGTTACTTAATCAAGGCCTATTCCGAGTTACACAAAAAATATCTGAAATTGAGTTCGGCACATCGGTAGATGCAGATGGAATTGACACGACCCAACTGATTTATTTAGTTTTAAGTAGAATTCGGAGTTTGTACTTAGGTAAGAGTGTCACATATATGAAATACTTACACAGCAACGTATTTGTAAATAATGAAAAATATACCTATCAACGCCATAACCATTTTGTGCCATCATAATATCGTTAGCATTCTAAGCGTTTCTTTTTTCAAAAGTTTTGAGTTTAATAACATAATAAACTTGTGTTCTCAAATATTTATCACTCAAATAAAAGCTGCAGTTGACTCCTACAATTGTATTCTGAATATTTTTCCTTATAGTAAATTTATAATTTATAGTAAATTAAGAACGGAAAAATTATGGACCTTAGTCTATAAAAACCTTAACTAATCAATATTAAATACATTTTAAAATGGGCGCGAAATCGCCTTTCAAACCTGTGGTTCAGGTTCGTAGCGGATCATGAATTTTTCATATTCTTGAATTAGTTAAATCTTAAATACATTTAATCAAATCCCATTATACATTACACACAACACTTTTCGAAAACAAAATACTTAATGAAAAATATTGGAAAAATTGTTTAAAGCGGCGGATATTTGCTTAGCGAACTGTTAAAAAATAGGCTACAGCATTAAAGGAAATTTATCCGTACGCAATCGAAATCGCACGTCTCAGGCTTTCTGTCTTCGTTTGAAGAGCTTTCATGCACGTCACGCACAGTGCCATTGATTTTCTGACCGTTTTGCAAATGAAATTATCTTGTTTACTGGAAAGGGGCAACGTGTCTCATAAAAAACTGTTAAAATAATCGGCCATCTGAACCGTAAATATCCCTCATTGACAATCAGTTTTGATTTGATCTACAGAAGCAGAGTTAAAAACAATTATAGTGGAAAATTTAGGGAAAGACGAAAAAAAATTTTTTTAAAAGAACTCATTGTACTTAAAGTAGGTATGCCCAACTCAAATTACAATAGAGCTTACATAACAATCTTTAAAAAAAAACATGTGCTTAACGAATTAATAAGATTATAATCATAGAACCTTAGAAATTATTTGAAACTGGAAAAATATCCAGCTTAAAATAAATGCATGTATTTTTCAACTGATATCTGAGTAAACTAAAAATTACAAGAAGGAAACGTTTTCAATTCATTGTATATCCATTGTGCCACCTGGCGGCCATCTCCGGACTCCAAAAATCGTTTTGGGAATCTTCTTTATCCAAAAAATTTTTGCGACTTTCTTCTCTTGTCTTGTTTGTTATATTCTACTGTAAGTTGCTATAAGTTGAGAAGGCGTAACGGCTTTGCAAAATTCATTTAATTGTTTTAGTCTGGATTTTGCGTTTTTTCTTCAATTTTAGAAAAAATCGCGAATGGTAAAATAATTTAATAATTAATTAATTTTTTGATACTTGATTGATTGTTTCGGTAATTGATTAATTTGGAACCTTCTTTTTCCAAAAAGTTTCCACGAGTTTCTTATCTTGTCTTGTTTGTTATAAAATTTATAATAAAACTGTCTAAAAATTCTACTGTAAGCTGCTATAAGTTGAGAAAGTGTCACGGCTTTGCACAATTCATTTAATTGTGTTTTAGTCTCGAATTTACGTCTTTCCTTCTATTTTAAAAAATCGTGTATGGTAAAATAATTTGATAATTGATTGATTAACAATTGGTTGATTGATAATTGATTACTTGATAAACCTGATTGAATGCTAATTCATTCGATCAGGTTTCTTTCAAATTAATCAGGTGCCCACACCTACCCTGCTTCCAAATTTCATCATAGTAATATCGCGTAAATAAAAAAGAAACAGGTATCTTACAGTTACAGTTTACTCATCTGTTTACTAATGGTCATTTCACAGAAAGATTTCATATTTTTTAATTTTCAATTTATTATATTATCTGATAATCTAGTGCTTATGATATTGCATGGTATGGTTTTATGGTATATTTAGTATATATTGGTTTATTACATATTCATATTGTGTTATTAAAGCAAATAACATAAGATGTAAGAGTTTATTTGATATAATACATGTACAATTAATACAAAATTAACATATTTGAATATTATAGGCAAATATGAATATTTATTTCCTATAATTATGTATATTAGTATAGAAACTACAAAACTACAACCTTTAATCATCAAGTAAATTATGTAACCATTCGTCTCTAAACTTCAATAGTTAAGATATGGTCTCATGTAATTTTTGGTCAAAATGTAAAATTACCTAAAAATCTACAATACTATAATTGCTATTTGGTAACATTAGGTGATAGTTTTCTCACTTGACATTGCCCTACTAAATTAGTGGTCAATCTTTTAAAACAGGCCATTGTCCAGCAGAAAATATCATAACATATGATTAACAGACTGATATATAATCTACAGAAATATTAATTATTGGCACATAACAGTCAATATGATTTATTATTATCTTATTTTTAGACACATTTCCCAATTACAATGGATTTGTTAGTAATTTTGTATAATGGCTTAGGAGAGTACTTTTGCCAAAAATGCCAAAGCAAAAAATCATTTTACAGAGTTTCAATTCAGTGTAGAAAGAGATTGGGATATGTATGTCAAAATAGGTTCTAGGATTGTCGTGGGTAGAGCTAAGACTGATGGTAGTGGTTGTGTGACTATATCTAGGTAATTATTTATAGTTTTGTAATTATTAGTAGTTGTGTATAACAAATATTTTAAGTTGAGTTATTTATTAATTTACTTTATAAAAACTATTGATAAAATTTAACAAATAGGTAAACTCCTACATAATTTTTCATTTCTTTTTTAAGGATACAAAAGTTACAATCTTACAGTAAATTAATCATGTTCAGGATTTTCATTTTCAAAAATATATCTACTCACTCTTAAGTTTGAAATAAATAACACAGAATTTATAATAAAACACTATTTACCCCACTTTACTTCCTTATTTTCCTACAGTAAGAAAAATACTGATATTGGTAGTATTTCTTTTCATTCTTTTAAAACTATTCCTGTCCTGGAAGTCTCACATTTTTCATATTTATAATTTTGGATAAATAAAATAATAACAATACCACACAGGAAGGTTGTTAACTTTACTTATGAGTTTGGGGTATCTGATGTCCTTAACATCTTAATACTTAAATTACAATAAAAAATGTTAGATCCACTTCGTTTGTATAACTTGTATAAAAAACTGATCTTATAGAGAATCATTGTAACAAAAAATACTTATTGTGATTTTTCTAACAGCATTAATACCCAAAATACAAATCCTCATATATTAATATATAAAAATTGGATTCACAATCACTAAGGCAGGTAAATGGTTTTTAAAATCGGGGGGAAGACATGCATATATCCTAAAAATAATTTTATTTCAATATATTCCGAACAAGTTCAGACGTGTCTCAATGTTACAGGCGAATTTCGAACCGAAGTCGGTAACGATCTTGACGCCAACGTTTTCTCAGCGCGAGGATAAGCATCCTCTGCCTCTTGGTTTCCCTTCATCTTCGTCGTCTAGGAGGATAAACAGACGTTGCAGTAATTCAGAATAATAAGAATAGCAATCAGACCGATAATTATGAGGATGCAAAACTTTTTAATCTACTGGTCCAGTCCAGGTGATTTTTTTTTACGTTGTCACATCTAGTCTATAATAAAAACGACAACAGGTATGGACCAATAGAGTATAAAGCGCTGCATATTTTCAGTAGTTGCATTTTACATTTTCGCTAATGAATTATATTATTAATCAAACTATTACAATGCCGACAAGCTAAATTTTATTTGTAAGATACGTCAAGTTAAAACACAAGCACCACATAAGCAAAAAAAACTGTTGCAGCGTACTAAAAGAAATTACTTGAATAATAGTGATCCTGTGGTATGTTGTATAGCTAAAAATAGAAGCGCAACAGTTGACGTGCACTTGAAGTCAGGTATTGTCAAATATCTTTCGTGATATGGTTAAATAGCTACTACTTACTACAGAGAAACTTGTCAAACTGACTCCCAAACCTCTTCTAAAAGCAGTGCAGAATAGAATTCAGTTCGGTTGCATTGAAACTACTGGCTTTCATAAATGTGTAACTGAATTATAACTTACTAGATTCTCAAATAACCATTTAATATCAAGATGCAAGTGTCTACTAATATTGCGATCTTTAGTTACCGGTTGAATTATACCACACCATATGTTAGGTAACAAGTAATTCGTTCAGCAATGTATGATCAAAATCTCGGGAATCTAGTTATATTTAAACAGTCCCGATTTTGGAGGGTGAGCATGTAAAAAGTTGAAAATTAAAATTCTTCAAAAGTAGCATATTATTTTTTAATAGAGAGAAGGTTTAGGGAACATATCTTATGGGGTTCTTGATACATTTACTATACTCTCAGTTACTCTCACCAAGACTACCGAAGAAAACCAGGATAAGGGTAATTCTAAATTGCTCTTCCCCTAGCTCTAAGTACTTCATGGCACGCGTGGGTGCCGAGCTCAAAGAAAATCTAAAACTGTTACTCCAGTAAAGGCAAACATTTTTTTTATTTAATCGTGAAAAAGCAAAGATTACCTCTATTCCGATTATGTTCCATGCTGAAATGCTCGAGAACCCCATGTAGACTTAATTATTTTGAGAATTCATTTACCCAAAGACTGTCTTTGTGTTTTATTTTCATAATCACTCCACATCAGCAAAGTGACAAGATAATGAAAAAAGATAAATCAGAACATCTTCCGCTAATAGAATAAAAACAGATATTACATTTTGAATTTTTGACAACCCTTGTGAAATTTCTTTAGGTAAATGATTCAAATACCTAACCGAATATTAGAGAGTTAGTAACTTACACCCATGTTAAAAGTTGAACTACTCAGATCACCTGATTGTTTCTCTGGATTCAATGGACACACTAAATCGCCATAATCGGCTTCTCCTTTGCTCTTTTTCCTCTTGAGCGAAAACTGCGTCTTTTTAGTGACCTAAATGAACATGCTATTAGGTACCTTAGAACCAGCAAGAAATATTAGTCATTGACCTTTAATTTGGCTGATGGAGTAAGAGGTGTGTATCCCATTGTAGCTTCAGTTTCTCTTTTTTCTTGAATAATATCTTTTCCTAATAGTTCTTTGAAGTGGGTATTCAGATGTCTTCTAAGCAATGTCTTGCCAGGTGGAATTGATAGTAAAGATGCCAGCAAATCTGCATTGAACTTTGGTTCGAGTACCATTAAACCTCCGTGAACTCCCGCACCACGTAGATTTGGAGCATATTCTGCTAAATCTACTGCTCTTAACCATTCCATAACCCTTAAAGATATTGAGTTATTGGATAAAAACGCAAATTACCAAAACGCACCTATGCGTCGTCCACAAAGACACATGCTTTGGCGTGGGTTTTTCCGGATCGTCGGGCAACGATCTTCTCTGCAAACAGGTCGGTTCATAATTATTCTCTCTCAATACTTGAATGCCTCTTTTGATACTGGCTACGTGAAGCAATGAAGTAACGTGAAGTAAGGCCAAGTCATCAATTGTCAGTCTATGTAACACTCTCCCATCCACACGGTTGATAAGAAAACTTTCCTTGTGCTGGGGCAAGCCCGTGTCGTCGAGCCACCTTTAATAATAATAAATATGTAATATGAAATATTAAAGCCCTTATTGTTATTAATGCAATTTTCGAACATTCTGAAAAAAACTGAAATATATAGTAAAAGTAAATGAAAAAAAAAATGATTCATCTTTAGTCAAAAGATTATTATGCACTAACCTCAAAACCCAAGCTGTATCAAGTTTTCCTGCCTGCGCCAAATACAAATCGCTAGAAGAATTTTCTGTCGTGTCTATTAAAGCGAGCTGCAGTTTTTTGCGATGCAATGGATTTTTGATGTTGAGCTCCTTTTCTATTTCACTTATAGGACTTTCTTGCAGCTGCTGGCCTGACTTGACCCATCTTTTCGCTTCAGGGATATACTGATCCAAACCTAAATCTTGCAACCAATCACATATATTCTCGCCATCCCACTCGGAAAAAGGTTTATCCGGTCTAAAATATATACAGAATGTTTTATATATTTTCATTGCCTAAAAGCTTACTTTAGTGTCAAATGGGGTTCGCTCCACCCTAATCTGGCTGCTGCTGTCGCCCTTACCCCACCTCTTTGGAATTCTCCTAAACCGGCGGGCAGATCTTCAAGATTTCCCGACCCCGATCTTTTCATTTTTCCAAAAATCTTTTTAATGCCTTTATTTTTATTGAACGATAACGTTGGCGATCCAGGAGAGTTCTCTTTTGAATATTCATCGGCAGCGATTTTGTCTGATTCAGCTAAGTACAAGATAAATAGCTGTAGTTCTGTTTGTTACTGCGAGCTTTAAAAAGGATTTACGAAAATAAACGGGGTTTTATTGTGAGGCCAAAATGGAAAATTGTTGCAAATTCAAGCAAATATTTTCGTGCACTGAAAAACAATATACTAATAGTATATGACTGCTAGGTATATAGAGGCCCTTTAAGAACTTTTAAAGCAACCATAAAAAAAAAATCGAGAAGGACCATTCTCTATGCCGATCTTGTGTTCAACTAATAACACTTGTTTGATGTAGCATTTTAGGAAAGTATTTTCTCAAAAGTATATCCATTTCTCTTTAAATGTTCTGGGAAAACGAGTTAAGTATGTGAAGATCACTCTGCAGGTTAGTGTATGTAATTTAGAGGCACACGTGGAGAATCATTTACTTCTCTAGGAAAATATCATTGGAGCGTGAGGCCCATCAAATTTTACCGTCCTTAAGCCAAAATATTATCTAATCGCGACATAACTAATAGAGCCAATTATGTTTTCTATTTCTCTAGAAAAGGTAGTAAATATATTTTTTAATTTCAATTGACCATTAAGAAAAAAAATGTGCCAAAATCAGACGAAAAATATAAACTCGCGATAATTAATACATGAATATGAAGTGAATAGCTCGAGTCTATTTAATATATAAATGAAATTATTTTTTCTCAAAAAACAAGAAATTCATAGAAGTTTGAAACATTTCCAAAAAATGTGCTACGAAGTTATTACAAAATAAAAAGGGACAAAGACAAAAGAAAATTAAATGTATCCTCATTAAACGGTTAATATCCCCTTATATATATTTGTTATTAAAAAGTCGAAAAGCTGGTGATTCTGTGTTACACAATGAATGAGTACAATGAATTTTTAAGAATAGCCACCATAGCGCGTTAAAATATTTCAGCTTTTCTATCAAATACTTTGTTACGTTATTATGTAATGTGAATTTGTTTTGCATGATAGCAAAGCTAAAACTTAGTTAGAATGGCTGACAAGCAACACCGACTTGCAAAGACTAGAGCTATTTCACCTAGATTGGGTACAGAGAAGCCCCTCAGCCTGCCCCCCGCGACTGGCAGATAACCCCCACCACCTATCAACCCAGTTGTCCTACCAAAAGCCACTCCTTTCTTGTGCGGATTCGCGTTCGAATCTGTGATCAAATTAGAACCGCTTCCGTTACTTAAAAACTGTTGCCTCGGTAAGCTTCCGTACTGTACGTCTATTTGCCTCTTATACGTAGATGGTGGTGTCTAAAACGCACAGTAGCACTGTTAAATTTTAAACTGCGATTGGATTAAGAAAGAAGCCGCACTTGCCTTGGGCCGATTGGGTTCTTGTATGAAAGAAGGTACCATATCTACCCTCCTGGGACTATTAGAAGAGGTTCCTATGGGGCTTGGGGAAGGTGAACCCCGCAAAATCTGTAAGCGTAAATTTTATAGAATTCTTAATAGATAAAAAATATTAACATGCATAAAATTAAAAGTCATAAAGCCATAAGAATCAAATTTGAATACATTTCTTCATGCTTTTACTGATATAATTATATTCATTTTGCTCCAATAAGCAATGAAAACTAAACCAGCCAATCATGGGGTCGTGCCGGCACGGACGCAGATTAAACCCGCGTTATCAGGTTTACAATTAAAAATATATTGAATCAGAAAAAAATAGTGTCATGTGAAGTGGGATTAATCTGCTGCAAAGAACAATTATTATTGCTATTATACATATATCTAACTCTCTTCGACGTTATCCATATCATCGATCATTTCTGTCAAGGAAAGCTTTATTAATGAATTTTATTCTAGAGGAGATCATAATCCACTTCACCCTCCGTCTTCTGTACCGTATTCTACTTAATATTATCACAACCTTTGCACTATCCCCGATATTTACTTTTAATATATGATATGAGAGTAAAGCGCTTCTAAATCTACGGGCAGTCTTATTTGTAAAATTTAAACGTAAAATATTGGATAAACTTTAAACCTAAGTAACTGGCAAATTCAATTCGACACCTTACGAAAGTTAATCCTACCTGACTAGAATGATGAACAGGGGTTGATGTTAGCTGAGGCTGAGATACAAGTTTTGGAGCTAACGGTGGCCTCTTTAGATCCGATGAATTATTATTGAATTGTCCGTTTCGTAATTCCATATTTTCCCGTTCCAACGCTGCAGAATTTAACTTTAGTTCGCTCATGATAGACATCAGTTCCAGTTTTTGGGTCTCCAACGACGATCGCGAAAGAACTTCCTGATATGCAAAAAAAAGCTATTGATTCCGTAGTAAAAATAATATTCGAAAGCAAACAGACAGGTTGTCCCTTAACGAATCCTTTTGCTAAGGAGAATCAAATAAAACAAAATTCAAGCTCGGGATATTCTTCCTTCTACTTTAGAATGTCGAAATGAATCCGGAAACTTTGTTCAAAAATTTGAGGAAAATGGAGTTATACGAATAATATACCAATATACAATCTTAACAATTAAGCCAAGTAATTAAAATTAAATATTCATTCGATTTCTAAGCTAATTTTAATCGAAAAGTAAATCCCTCCAGAAACATGTTTAGGCAATAGCATGGAAAGAAAGTGTACAGTGGGATCAATTTACCTTGATAACATTCTAATTGGCTGTAAGTTTTTTATTTTCAGAGATATCAAGATAAACAAAAATACAAAATGTTAGTGGGTTAGTAACTAATTTTTTTTCCGAGTGGCGTATAAAACAAAACTCTATCAATTTTCTGAGATACAAGCCTACATCATATGTTTTTAAATGGAACACCCTGTATATTATATACGTGTTTAATAGAATATCTTATTCCGATTACAATGATGAACACACGTTATATTTTAGTGCACTCGTTTTTGACAAATCGCCAAAAATAGGAAATTTTTATATAATTTCAAACAGTGTAATGATTGACTGCAATAACATTTTTACAAATTAAACTAGAACAAAAACACTAAAAATGACAAGCAATCCTATAGTAAAAAATTGTTTAACTATTCTATGACCACCATTTGCTTAAACACATTTCTCATACACTCTAACTGTATGATCTCTTACCTCTGAAATCCTTTGCCGAAGTCCCACGAGATTATTACAAGAAGTTCTGTGCTAGTGACTTTTATGTGCCCCCAAAAGAAAAATCCATTAAAGTCAAGTCGGGGCTGTTCGCTATCCAACCCCTGGGATATTCCATGTTAAGAAAAATTTTACCTTGAATAACATTGTGAGGATGGGCACCGACTTGCTGCCACATAATCAGCGCTGATATGTTTAGAGGTAATTTTTAGGTAATGTTTAGACGTAATATATTGTTCTGTTTGGTTCAATGAGTTACAAATAATGATCTCCATGAACATTTGATTTGAAAATATCGGACCCAAAATATGGCCATCTATAACACCACACCATACATTAATTGATTGGTACCCCTGTTTTTCAAAAAATGGTTATTCTCATTACGTTTATTTAAAAACTCCAAACAAAACCGCATCCTCCTTTGACATTGTTCTGCACTTAGTTTGAGAGTTTTACGAAATTTAAATGCATTATGTTTATTTTCTTTCAAAACTGTATGGGTTGATCTCCGAGAAATACCTGTCTCTTCATATGCTCTAGTAATAGAGGAAACTTTATATGTGCTTCATGAATCCTAATATGTTGACCTTATTTTCTTCATTTAAAACATTATGATTCCGGCATATCTTTTTAGCATTTAATAGGTTACCGTTTTCTGCAAAAAATTTCCTTTCCAGCTTTGGAAATATCAGTTTTGAAGGAGGTCGGCGCTCTGACGACGAGATGCAGTTGCACTTTTATTATTCATTTATTTATTATTAACCATCAACGTTTTTTACTAGTTACTAGCACTCTTGGAAATTAAATAAAAATTTCCTATTTTTGCGAATTGTCAAAAATGAGTGGACTAAAATATAAAGTGTGTTATATCATTGCAATCGGAATAAGATATTCTATTAAACACATATATAATATATAGGGTGTTCAACTAAAAAAAAAATATGTAAGCATATCTGTCAGAAAATTGTTAGTGGTTTGTTTTATACGTCACTTGGAAAAGAACTTGGCTAATAACCCTACATTAGGAATAAAAAAGCTATCGACAGAGACTTTGATCCCCGAATAAGAATGTAAAATAATTATACGATTATATTTGTTGGTTTTTTCATTCCAACAATCGAAATAATACTTCACAAGCGGTTTTCATTCAAAAATATACCCGGTGATGCCTATACTTAACGTTACTATACAATTATTATAAATAGCATTGAACTCAGATGTGTGACTACTGGCAACTATTATATAGAGTGTTGCCAACCTCAACCAAGGTCGGTACAGTAATAGTTATTCGAAGAATCTTTGTGCAGTACACGGAATCAAAATATTAGTCCTCATTATCAAATTTTAAAATTCTAAATTTGGTAATACGCCCGGATCAGAAGCGATTCGGAAACTGCCCAAGACTAACCAAAAGAGTCGTTTACCCTTTGCAACTTCTCTTCCGCGTCGGCCAAGACCTGCTTCTTTTCCTGAAGGGATTTCTCCAAATCCGCAATTTTGTCAGACTGTGCCTCGATTTGTTCCGTAAGTACCTGCACCTGCAGCTGGAGATTGTCCCGTTCATATTGCAGCTTCCTACATTTTTCATCCTGATCCCCTGACTGGAGCGACAACAATAACAATCTTTTATAAAGTTATCAAAAAAAAAAATGCGAGATACAAGAAATTGATACTGAAATAGCGTTCGCAGAAATAAAATCTCTTTCTGGGCACCACACTTATAAGAACAGTAAGTAGCAAATGTTTAATCCCATAAGTGGCACATTTATAGGAGGCTACCTTTGGATACGAAGGTGGCGTCCAATGGTATCCCCTATCGCCGAAACAACAGCAGGGTGGTGGACCCAAGTGATAGGAGCAGCAAGATATTTCGTGTCTTAACCTCGTGCAATCTCCATAAATATCAGGATGACTACCTCGCTCCGAAAGCCTGTGGTCTAACAGCATGGGAGTGCTACCGTACCTCTGGGGGTCTAGTCTATACGATAAAGGAGTAAAAGACTCTGTTACACTGGTACGGTTGGTTCAAAGGTGTCAATCACCTTTCGTGTCTTCGATGAAAGTTTTCAAAACATCCGTCGTGGAGTCCATAGGCTGGAGGGTAACAATAACCACCGTTTTGATAATCGTCCAATCTCGGGGGACTTTGCACGTGCTGAGATTTGGACTTTTGATCACGTTCTTCTCTTTTGTGAGAATGTCTTCGTCTATCGAGGCTGCCGGGACCGCCGCTTTTAACGTCGTTGTTCCTCCTTGGAGTTCTTTCGCGTACGGCGCGTGATAGGGGAGGTTTAATACACAGCGGAGCCTGTTCGTGGTAAGGATCCTCCTCCATTTTAGTAGACGGGTTCGGCGAAATCCTCGGCGTTGTCAACGGTGACGAAGTTTTACGTATCCATTGGAAATCGTTGGTGCAACGCGTCGAGCTAGTATCTATTTTTTTGGAGGAATGAACGTTAATAAGGTCAGCCGAAAACGTTAAACTTGCTATTCAAACCACAACTAAAACATCGCATCTTTTGGGGGAACTTTTTACGCTTACTCGCCGAAAAGTTTTAGGGTCGAACTAAACTGGGACCAGCCATACGAAGTTAACGGAAATGTTAAAACCGAAGCAAAAAAATCGAAAGCCCCGATACTTTCAATGAGTTGAAATAAAACGAAAATTGGTTGGTTTGTATAGTTTTATCTCGAATTGGCGATTTTAACAACTTCTCCAACTTATTGTCTTTTCTTTTGATTGTTTAGAAACATTTTTACCAACCGTTTTGGGATAGCTATTCAAGAAAGTTTTCCTTTAAACTTCATTGAATTATGTTTATTAAATTGTAAATTCGAATCTCTCAAAAATAACGGTAATTTTGCGTAAAAGGTTCGCTGAAAATGCTCCCAACTTTATTAATTACATTTAAAAACCACTTTGTTAATTAATAACGAAATGTCAATTAATATTGACCCTATATTAAACAATCCGGTACTCGTTTATTTAGAATTCAAAAACTCATCCCATAAATTACACTTTTCTGAATATTTCTAAAAATTTGTATTGAAAATGTTTTAACAATTTTATAATCCATGGGACTGAGCGAAGATTTAAAATTAATACCATTTTGTTAATGTTATAAATTGATATTATCACATTGTATCGGATTGGATTAATCAGTTATGAAAGCAATCAAATTTAAATATATAATATAAAATTTATCACTTTGGTATAATTAGTAATTAATATAGATATGCATCGAACGAATTTCAAGAAAATAAATAAAAATTGCACCTTTTTTATAAGAATTTCGTTCCGAGGAAGTCGTGGATAAATCCGAAGTAGACTCCGCCCGATTGGAAATATTGTCGGACCAAATTTCGTTATGTTCCTTTAGGGTCGAGCCATCCTCAAGACTCGAATCGTCATCTTCACATCCTAAATACAATTTCAATGTACTATAACAACAGGGGTAATTTGAAATAAAAACGTTGTGCACCACATTATTTTTATTTGGTAGCGGATAAGTTCTATTTCCAAATATAATATCGATAATTCCTTTTCACCGCCTCGAAACTGGAAATTATAATTCTCTTTAGTAGAGAAATTATTATTAAAATGTTGCCATAACATCTAATGTCGTCCATTCTAAAAATATTTTTTAGCGTTTTTTTCCCAAACACACCCGGAACAATTCACACTCAACACTTTTTTTACAAATACACTAATTCGAAAATTTCACTGCATTACCATTTGAACATCCGTGCATTTTAATGCTCATGCGTCACTTCAATACGGTGATAATCGGTGTGGCAAAACGTAAATTGATTCGAGTGCTTGTGCTCTGGGAAACAAATACATCAGAAATTTTAGGATCTGGACAACAAGAAAGTTATTTCGGGCTTCGGTTGGACCAGTGCCAGACATTTAACAGGAACTCCACATATCAATTGGCGATTGCGTGCGTTTTTGTTTATGTGTACGGTTACTACTACGTTATACAAGGTGTTTGGAAAAGCTGATACAACAGCAGTGAAAAGCATAGCCAGAAAACGGTTCCTTTAAACTCCTTAAAGTGCTGCGGAGTTCGCTTAGCGAGATTCGGCTACTGAACTGGATTGTGGTGTTTGTGGATAATTCTTAAAATAACTTCGTAATTAACATAATCGAGCGATAGATAATAGTCACATATTATAATTGTAATTAATGATAATTATCTACATATCTATCTATCTACTATTATACTTAACAATTATTCTTTTTGATGTGAATCGAACGTTTAGCGGCGTGCGGCGTTTGGGCGTGCCCGTTGATAAATAAATAAACAAAACAAAAATATGCTTTGAGCCATTGTTGTTAAACCTATCCTAATATTCTACCTCTTTTAAACTAACAAGCAAACATAACATTATTTTCCAATTTGGCGTAGTTTGGAAAATCCTGGGGTAAACACTAACATTAACCAAAATAAAACAGGGAGGGGTTAAAAACGAGACGCCCTATATTACTTTCCTCAGTTAAAAATTGCATTGATGCCATTTTTTTTTAAGTTTTCGGTCTTACTTTTTTTATTGTGAATTAAATATTGTAGTTAAATAAGGAGAGGAAAAAATGTTCCCGGTTCAGAAATTTAATTTGGTATTTGTATGATTAGAAGGTTCCCTCACTTTTGAATCGTAGGAGGTACCTTTCATTTCAGTTTTTATTCATTAGTGGATTGATTGCCCTGTGTTGCTAAGCAAGCTGAACTTTCATGTTCCTTCAAGGACTGACTGTAAGGGCATCACCCGTATTTCACCTGGTAAATCTAAGACCCAATTTTTTTATTAAAGATCCTCTCTATCAGTAGATGAAATTATTGAATGACTTCTGTAATCATATTGACGTTTTTTGTCTTAGTTTTTGTTGCTGGAGTGAATATAGTTGAGTTGCTAGACAATAAAAATTATTATTCTTATTATTATAACATTTGCGAATTTTTTAATAAAACAAATGTGCAAAATAGTTTATTGACTAAAGATTGTTCCACAAATAAAGACAGTTAAACTTATTACCATGCCACGAACTTAAAAAAGATCGGAACAAAGGATTCCCGAAAAACGTACAATAAATTTGAAGCGGGAAAACCGAAATGGTGCTTACTAAACCCGTAATATTGTTGTTATACGAATCTATCTATTGTGTTTTATAAATAAGGCTTCATTTGCGATAATAAAGGTTCATTGGACATTCTACGCCGGCCAATTCTAGTAGCGTTTTGCTAAAGCTAATTTTAGCATTGATATTGATGTAAGGGATATTGCATAGAAAGCACACTTGGCTGGTTGTTGTTCCCGAAAGGTACAGATACCGAATTTACGAAACACGAAGCTCAAACACAACGTAACAAGGCGCAATATTAGATTAACACCAAGGCGTCCAAAATCATGTATTGATTAACACAGATTTAAATATAAAATCACCACTTGTTTAAATTTCGGCGACTCTCATCGAACAAAGAAGTATAATAAAAATGAGCAGAATGTTTCCTCCCGCTCTTTTTGCACAAACGCCACCGTACTCTTTGAGCAGGTGATGCTACCTACTACTTTCCAGCAAATATCGGGAAGGACAGACGAGTCAAAATCCCATATAGTTATTCTTCACATGTTCCGCAACATTTAAGCCTTCTTAAATAAACTTAAAACCAATTCAGTCAAATTTTAAATGATTCTAAAGTGATTCTAAAGTGTTATGCTTCGTACAATACCGCAAAACGCATCAAGCAAAATATCTCAAAGTTAAATTAGTTTGCTAAAAGAACAATGGGGAATATGAATTCGCACGGTAAATCTGATTCAAATCTAAATTTAATACCCTAAGAATGAGCATCATCGCGAGAAACGTATAAACAACCGGCTTTAATTTTGGACAGTTTAAGCAAAATCTACGAGGAACTCAAATTGCGAAGGTCATGATCATCCTATGTAGACCAAAGGACATTGCAACGCTCCAATGCGCCGCAACAATGTAAGTCCTCCGTACAATGCCCCATTAATGATTCTTGACAATAATACGATCCCACTCTTTGTTTTGTTGCATTCGAGTTTACACGTTATGTATTCAAATAACTATGGCTTGTTCTTTTTCTAAATCAATAAGTTAATACCTTGCTTTTTAAAAAGATTCAATATTAGCAATACGCTGGACACTCGAAACGAATAAGCGCACGATAAGTGCTGAAGCCTGTGCCTGTAACATAATTTCTAATAACAAAAAAACCATTTCTGATAGTCAACATTTCTTTTGGATTTTGGTAGACTGCGTTGCTTTCGCCACCACGAGTAAATGTTACGAATCCGACTGTATCATTTTTACTTTTTTTTATTTACTCCCTAACCAAATATACCTAATTTGCACTAATAATTATAAATGATTGTCTGAAGAACCTTATAAATGTATTGTATGGAATACTTTTTTTACGCGACTATTACTTTTCGGGTAGATCTTTGCAAAACGAGTGACTGTGATGTGACTATCGGAACTACGGTCAAAACATAAACATTCTCTGAAATAAGTTTTGAAAACATCCGATCGAAAGTGTTTTTAAAACCTTTGCGCACGCCTCATTAGTGCATAATAGAGTATTTTATGTTGATTAGTTAAAAAATATATTAAAAAGAAGGTATTGTAACACTAAATTCAGCTTCATAACATAACAACCAGCATATTTCTTGAAAAATAAGATAAATCGTTTTTTTGTGATTACAGCGCGATCTACTGAGAATCTCCGAGATAGTTTTCGGCTCCCCGCTCCCAGTGGATTGTGAGGGAAATAAGGGGGTATGGTTGGTGTTATTAAACAGTTTTTTTTATTCAATATTTTAATTCAATTTTCTATATTATGTAATGTATGTATGTATCATGTAATTCTCGGAATATTCCACAGTTTCAATACTTTGTGGACACGGTATAAGTTGCAACGCGTATACATAAATGAAGAAATCAAGCAAAAATCTGAGAAATAATTGATAAGACAGCTAATAAATACGGAAAGACTATTACAGAAACGACAGAAAAAAGTTATAAAGGCGAAGCTATAACAGATGAAGGTTTTCTCGATTCGTTCGTTTGTTCGAAATGCCCCCTTGCCCGTCCCATTCCCATGATTTTAAAAATAATTCCAGCCACGCTTAACCTAGATATAAGCGGGATCGTAAAACATTATTTCTGGTTGCCTGGTACAATATTATCGTAAACATCCGAATAGTTTCGTACCGACATTGCTTCTAAAGTCTCTAAATTATGGGCATTTAGATAGCATAATTCAGATTTATCGACGAAAATTTGCGTCATGCTTCGCGTGTTCGCAAACGCCAAAAACATATACCGCTCCTTCGAAGTGAAACCAATAAATACAAAACAATAATAGGCCGGTCGAATTTTATATCAACGGAACAAAGTCGCAGATACTATTAAAAAAACACCTTGTTCGTACATTGCATGGGTGCAATCGAGAATACTAGTTGTATTGCCGAACTATAGTACTCTCGAACAACGATTTTGTTTTAAATTCGTAAGAGGTAAACGTTGATCTCAATTGTCAATGATTGACATTTTATGTTTATGTTTTTATAATTTAATTATTACATTCCGTTTTAAAGAATAGTTTTGGTTAGTTTTAATTTGGTCTACATTATATCTTTCGAATACTAAGATTTATTAATGCTGTTGGTTTAAGATGATACTAAAAAATAAATGTCCTTAAATAGCGTTTTTTATAATTATTTCTTAAATTTTTATAATTAAACATTGTCAAATCTTAAAATCACATACAAAATAATCGTTATTTACAAGGTATTTATTTTTTCAAAACATCAAAAACTTTAGTCATTAGTTCAGTTACTTTTAGGTAGTAGCAGTGCCGAGTGCTTTTGTTTGAACATATTTTCTTTACTCTCTACTCAATTATGCACTAATAATTTATAAATAAGTGTCTGAAGAACCTAATAAACGTAGGTGACATCGTTTTAGGCAATTGTAAGCAGGAAGGATCTAAATATTCTGAAGTAATGTAGAACGACCCCGAAGAGGCGCAAACATTATAAGTCACAGAAAATACGCTTGAGGAAGAGCACACAGTATATATCATGAACTATTAGTACGACTTCATTTATTCTTCATTTTATATTGACCATTACAATCCTGTCACACAAATAAATCTATCACTCATCATATTGAAACATCGGTACTGGCAATTCATTGTAGTGCACCGTTGCAAAATATTTTGCGAGCTTCCTTGTCATTTATTTTACAATTATTGAAGAATTCGAACAGTATTTCTGCACTTACCTTTCGATGACCGTGAGCTAATCCTCTCTTCTTCAGTAATTGTGGCCAATCCACCGTTAATAAAGTGGTCACCTTCGCTATCACTAGTTTGCTCGTCTAAACTGTCACTATCGTAATCGAAACATCCGCCGATCACTTTTAATTTTCCATTGTCGATCACTAGTCGCTCTTTATTCGGAACTTTAGCGTCGCTGGACGCTGTCAGCGAGTCGGTGCGCTGATGGCATCCTTTCGATACCTCGTCCGAAAATGTTTTTTCCACATCTTCAGCCACGCTATTGAAATTCTTGACGGCCGATTCGAAATTCTCTTCCTTAACGTATTCTCGGGAGTCGCTTCTATTTATAAAGTCACTTTGGTTAATGCTAATCCCGTTCGTATGGCTATTTTCGGCAGCGTTACAACCGGTTGCAGTGATAGGCATGGCACATTTGTTCAGCCTTTTGGTTATCGCAAGTTTTGGCGGCAACGAACACTCTTTGGATTGTTTTTCCAAAACCGCCACCACTGCGGCCACGACGGCGCCGCTCTTGCATACCTCGCGCATATCGGACCGCAATTTGGATAGTTCCTCGTTGATTCAAATTTTATAAACAATTAATGCGGCCTCTCATAGATTGATGCACTTTCGCGATTAAACTGAAACGTTGCTTCTGTATTACTATCGACCAATAATCAATAATTTTTGTGTGTCAATCAATTATTTCTCTATTAATAATTAGTGAATCTGTTCAGTTGTTTTCGGCTTTACAATTTTTTATTTTTAGTTGTCATGTTTTTATAATGATATATAATAGCTGTGTTATAACATTATTGTATTCTGGTGGATCTTCATCAATGTATGACTGACTATACAGAATGATGGGTTAGAAGTTTAAGAAGGACCGAAAAGAGATTCTTTTTGAAAATTTGAAAGCGTTTGTTTAAATTTGAATTTTATAGCTCAATACAACAACACCCCCAATGAGTTCCCATCATTGCTATAAGGAGTTTACAGAGTAAAATATTATAACGCTGTACCAATGTCCGAGTAAGAGCATGGCAAAAAACCCGTACTGGGAAATATTATTAGCGACGGGTGATAGCAGTGCAGGGGGTAGGTTTATTTATATTTTTTAAATTAAATTTATGTTCTGACAAATGATTCTGCAGATTTCGTGCGTTTTATGTGTTTTATGTCGTTTCAAATTAATCAAATCAAAAAATAATAAAAACCTTATTTTTCAATTCTAAAAATCATAGTTGTATTATTTAGCTAAGGAATGCAATTTTGTTAAACAATAACTGCTCCTTGAGGATATGGGTGCAAGTACTCCAAAACACTTATAAGTGTGTGAAATTTTGCGCCACAATCGATCACAAGTCATTTTAAATTGACACAAACTCTCATTCAGAGTATCCAATAAAATTAATTATGAAAAATCTAATTTAAAGGACTTTCGCAAGTAATTAATATTTCGAAAACCGCTTCAGGCAGGTACAGGAAAATATTACGCAAAAATAAAGTAAATTTAAATATGTAATACAATATACGGTATACCATTTAAAATAACCATACTGCCCTATGTTATTATTAAAAGCGGCAACGTTGCAAAATTTTCGATAGAGCAGACTCTAAAATCAAACATCAAAAATAAATCACCCGGTATGATATTGTTGGCAATATTAAATGTCGTTGATATTTAGTGACAATCCATAAAAAACAACGCTTTCTTACAAAAATGAGATTTTTCCATTTTTCTATGTCCTACAGAGTCTTTAGTCATCTAGGGTCAGAATATGTTGAAGTTGTCCTTTAATCCAAAAACTCTATAGATGGGATGAAAACGTTGGAACATTCAAAGTGTTACATAATGTGACAAAGAGTCGCTTCAAAATTTATGAAATTCGTATAAATGACCCCTCAGTGGAAAAGGTAATAAGAAAAGAATAAATAATTATTAGACAATGTCTAGCTTCGACTGGCGCAGCAGAAACGCTTCTATTCTCACTTACAATAATGCTGCTATTTAGGCTGCAAAACAACTCGAGGGATAATAATCCTTTGTAAAACGCTTTCGCTTAAATTTGATGTTATTTATGGCGAGGTTTAATTTCGATTTCTGACCTTCGCCCAAGATCTCTGACTCAATTAAAGTGTCCATGAAACACACTCTTTATAGCAACATTTTAACTCGAGACAGCACTGGTAAACTTGAAACAGTGCGTGTATAAAACATTTAAGTAAATCATATTCGTCTCCTAGCAATTTATTATGGTGTCGTTACCAGTAAAATTATTGATTTCCTTTTCAAATGCTAGA